ATGTATTCAGTTCTTATTGATTTCCTATTTACATTTGCTTTAACTATTTGTTAGCTATATACTTTCATTTCTGGTTTTTAGCGCGATTGCGTCACGCGGCTACCTTATTAAATAAACTTTATAAGAGTTTAGAAGCTAGCAATAAGAAATAGTAGAGAACTATCTACTAATTAGTAGAAATACTTCAATATAAAGATAACTGGTTTAAACTAATTATATAACTCAGATTTTAAAAAAATAACAAAAATTAGATAAATTTTTAAAGTAAAAAAGAATAAAAAATTTAAAAATTTAATTAAAATATATATTAATAAGAGGAAGAAAAATAATTTTCTGATAAAAAAAATCAAGTAATAAATAATATAGCTTTTATTAAAAAAAATTCTTGTATAAAAATTTATCAAATATTATATTTTATATAGTAAATTTTTAATTTTTGATCTATTTTATATATTTATATAGCTAATATTATACAAACTTAGTCTAAGTTGTATCAAAATTCTTTAGAGTTCAATCAAATCATCACAACTCTTTCTGACCAACAATAACAAAAACTGAACTATAGCAAACCATATAGAAAGCAACAAAATAGATACTAAACTTGGTTCTATAAGTAGAAGCAGCTTGTTGTTAATAAAGTCTAAGCATCTAGATATAATATATCAAGAAACAGGCATTAAAAGAATGAATAGTTTTCTTTGAAGCTAAGTTTTCTTTCTGGCAGACTCTTTAAAGTATTCGGCATTCAAAACAAAAGGTTTATTCTAAGAACAAGTTTGTAGAAGTAGCCAATATGCATTTTTAAGTTGGTAGAAATAGAAAAGCTAAACTTTATAACAATAAAACTTACAAAAAGAACCTTACATATTTTTGTTAGCCTACTACTTTTTTTTGAAAAAATTTTTGTAAAAAGTTGATATTTTAGCTTATCTTCTCCAAATGATTGATATCACATATACTAAACAAGTTAGCATTATTTATCTCTCAAATTAGAATATAACAATAAACATGTATATATATATGCCTTGAATGACAGATAGTGTTTCCTAACAAAGCAAGAGAATGGATTCAACAAAATTATAAGTAAACTTGTTGATCAAAGTTCATACAATTGATCAGGTGTACTACTGGATATATAAGTATAGTAAAAGTATATATATGATCAATCAAGATAATCTACTTTTATCGGCAAAACTATATCTTAAACAACCTAAATTCATAGAAAAAGGATTTAAAATTCTTATCTATATTGAAAATGATTTTGTACATGCTCTGAGATTTTTGACATCATTATTTAGACAAGTTGGTATCGAAAATGCAACAGAAATAATTATAGACTCAACATTTAAAACAAACCAAGAGAGGTTTGAATTATTTGTTGTAAATCTAAACTGCTGCGGATATGGTATGCCAATATCATATATGTACTTATCTACTTCAGATAGTACAGAGACAGCAAGAAATAATCTAATAAATTTTATAAAAACTTGGGTTAAAGCGCTACGTATATTTTTATTAGTCTTCACAATGAAGAACTGTGACTAGTATTTGTATTAATAGACAAAAATTCAGGAGAAATATCTTCTGTTAGTGAGGCTTGATCGTGGACTACTAGTATCCAAATCTGTCAATGGCATATCATGCATGCTATTGATAGAAAGATAAAAGAAAAAAATCAAAATCAAGTATATACTCTAAAGCTAAGGCTTTAGAAGTGTATAATAAATTTGAGTTTATCGACCCATTGTGGTTTTAAAGCGGTGCCAGATTTTTCTGCCCAGATAATTATATTAATCATATTTTAAATATGGTTAAAAAATATTCATCTATACATCCGCTTATTCCAGTTAGAAAAAATTCTTACTTAACTTCAAGTAAGATTTATTGCTCTTGTGTCCAAGAATTATACCAATTCTGCTATTCACATAACCTCATTAGATTATGGGGTTATTTATGGTCAAACTGGTATAATGAAAAGGATTAGAAGCTTTTTGCTTTGTCTTCATATCTACAAGCTCTACCCTTTGCACATATCACTATGATTATGGAAAGTCATTGGAGGGTTCTTAAATATAATTACAAATATAACTATAACCATCTACAAATAGATAGACTTACTCAAATTATAACTGAACAGCTCATTCCAGATTTCAAAATTAAATTGGTTTAATATAATGAAAATCAATCCTTTCCCACATGGTGGTATGAGTTCAAAGCTGAATAGCATAAAGCAGCAATAGCTAATATTCAACTCGACATAGAAGAAAGATATCATATTGATATCGATAACTGGGTATGCTCTTGCTCTGCATATTTAAATAGTTGCTATCATCTTTGTAAGCATCTAATATTTAAAAAGAATGATAATTAATTTTTACTAACTTCTTTGGAAACATCCCGATGACATGATTACCCCTTAATCATGTTTGGTAATAATAAAATACCTGTTATCAATTTGATAAACAACCCTTAGACTAGATCAGGTATACCAGATGTAGTCAATGATCCTAATGAAGTTAGCGCTAGATCAAATGATTTGCAAGATGCATTAGCAACAAACATGATATGATGAAGAAAAGAAGAGAGAAATATGCTCTATACAAAAAAAAGTTTGATACGGCTCTAGAATTGTATAAGCAAGAGATGAATAATGATAATTTTGTTAATAATTTTGATACATTGATGGCGCCACTATTAAAAGAAATTAAGGAATGCAAAAAAGTATTAAAAGCTCATAAACAACAAGCTACCTGGAAGTCAAAAGGAAAACTTGCTGCTTGGTTACATTGATTAAAGGATCAGTTCGTCAAATATATAATAATATTTATACAATTAGACTAATTGATAAGAATTACAATTACAGTTAATTCTGAATATAACAAACCTCCATATAATGAATTCAGGATATAACGAACCAATTTTAAAGTTTCATCGTAGTTTGGTATAGAAAGTGCTGTGAGTTTTTAAGAGTACATAATAATTTTCTATAACAGACTTTTTTACTTTCAGAACTGCTAGTTTGTTATAGAAAGAATTGCCAAAAAGTTACTATATTAAAAATTATGAAATTAGATTTAAAAAAAAATTTTTATACTAATATGACTCTTTATGCACAGCCTTAGGATTTAAATTTTTATTTTAAAATAGATGTGCCTAATATCTTAAAATTAATATAAATAAAATATTAGAAAAATATAAATCAAAAACATATATTATACATATCTTCATTATCAAAATGTTAAGTAACTTAAAGTTTTCTTCTTGAATATGCTATAAAATAACTTCCTTCGCGGTAATAATTTTGGATACTTAAAAAAAAATGATAAAAGTAAGCTTTTGTTAAATGCGTAAAGAGTATAAAAAAAAAATTGAACTTTGAGAAAATTTTAAATCATTTTCTCCATGTTACAACCTACTATAACCAAATACTGCTACAAGACTTCAAACTTCATTTATAACGATAATGAAAGTGACAATGTGCGTAATTGACAAATTGACAAAGTTGGTTGATCATCTTGAGTGTGAATTTGATTGGGTAATTTGAATGATCGTCGGCACGTGATCGGACATTTTTCGCCATGGCTAGAATACTTTGTAGATTAGAATCGGCGTCTAACCGATTACCCCACCCTTAAACCGATTACTTTTTTTGTGATATTACGTGATATTATTAAAAGATTGTACCAATCAAATCAACAATAAATCGATCATTTGCATGTTTATTTATCATTTTAATATAATGCTAATAACCAACGATATAATATTTGTCAAATAACAATCCAGCCCAAACTGATCGGTCAATGCCTTTTAAATTTTGGGGTTTAAAAAATTTAGCCCTAATGTTGGTTATTCGGGTCACATCATATGGAGGTCAATGCTCGAGTAGCCCTTGGTGGATTTGTAATTAAGGAATAACAAGAGTAGGGATAAAATTAATAATTATATAAGGAATAACGAAAGTAAGAACGAAATTAATAATATAGAAGTGGGGACGGAATTAATAGTTAAGGGAAAAATAAAAACGGTAGATAAGCGCGTATATAATGGAATTAATAGATTGAAAGTCGTAATAAAAGGTAAAATTGAAAGGTCTTTGTTGTAATGAATCGACAGCAAGATGAAGAATAATTTCTGAAGATGGGACACATCGGTAAAGATAATAGGGAATTTAGATGTCCTGTCTGATATCACTGCCTCGTCTGTAAAATTCATAAAGAGGTCACCAGAATTTCGATCGAACTTGTTCTTCGCCCACCACACCCTTAAGCTCACGAACGATGGTGGTCCTGTAATATTATAACATTAATAATATTAATACATAATAATTAAATAATATTATGCAAACCTATTGGATTATTTCAATTTTTGCACTGAATGATGAGCTTAATTCCTCTAATATCACAAATCTACTCCGCCATCGCTTGGTTCCTTGCAAAAAAAAAAAACAAATGAGTATTGTGTCATCATTATTAACAACCAAAGAGAAACACACCGGATCGGGGTATTCAACGGTAAGTGCTTTCATTGGTTAGCACGTATCTTATTCATCAGTCTCCTCCGCGTAAGGATCATCGAGTAACTGAGGAGAAGAACGTTCACAGTAAAAAAAAACTGTGGCCACGAAGAGCTTTCAATTCTTCCTTAGATCTTTTACACCGACGTGACAGCGTACCTTCAGATACATGATAACTCAACAAACATTCAATGAGAAACTCACCCTCTATGAATATATTCTATTCCATCTCCTATAAAACGAATGACTTTTTTAAAGCCGATAATTTTTAATATCTCGATGACATCCCACTCGAGGATGTTTTGTTGCAGAATACTTTATAAGAACAGCAATAACTTCACTTTCGATAGTCATGTTAAAAATAAACTTTTTGCGTTTTTAATATATCAAACCGATAGCTTCTTTTCGCTGGGAACATTTTGTCGACAAATTATTTGAATCATTCACTATAAGAAAAATTATTATTAAACATGCCAAAAACTATTTCAGAATGTATAAAAAGATTTTTTTAGTCGATATAAATATTTTTTCGGTACGTACATAGCATATTGAAACTTGCTTTAAATAGAAATTAAGCACTCACATCATAAACGTATATAGGCTACGTACTGAGTGTCTATCATCGGTCAAATTACAAACATAGTGCTAATTAAGATTTTTATACCGATACGGCGCAGTGTTGACAATTTTACCGGCCAAACCAAATTTCTTGGCCTTTTCGGCCAAAAAATTGGCCAATTCGGCCAAAAAACATATGAAT